GCTCCATCTCAGCCGAAGGATGTGCCTGCTGTTCCTTCTTACAGTTTTGGCACAAATAAGTCTACTCCGCGTCTTGTTTTCTCGTTTCCATCTACAAGTGGTACCTCGACCCCTGATGCTTCTGATCTTAAGTTCCAGTTTGGATCCGATAAGAAGGCCAGATTGTCTTTTAATTCATTTGGGAAAGACACTATCTGCTGCTGATCATGTAGGGTTTAACTAGTTTCTTTTTCTCCTGTTGCTGAACTGATTGATTTTCGTCTTCTCATATTTTCTTTTAGACATCTTTAACTATACTTATTGGTGTATTCTTACTGACATTTTATGACTGAATCAATAAGTTCTATAAGTGGGATCTTACTCTATATTATACTAATCCATAAATTGCCTTTGATGTAGGTAGATCATGGGTTAGCATGATCTATTGTCTCAGACCCATGCCTGATCAGATGAGCCATTTGCCCAACTACTTCTTAACCATTTTTTTTTTTTTTATAAATCAATTAAGGAAAAAGAAAAGTTTTCAGTGGGCCGAGTTCTTAAACAAGATGACTATGTGAAGAGTTTAGTATGAATCCTTGCCTAATTAAATAAAGCAAACAAGAACATATTCTAATGGGAAAAATTCACAAGTGCCCATAAAAAAATTATTCATTTTTTTATTCTTAAAACAATGTTTCTATTATAATTTATTTTTTACGATAAATTTTGAAAGATTTACATATTGTGAAAAATAAAATTATGTTACACACACTTTATGGCCTTGTTTTTAACATCACAGTCGTCAGCTATGTTATACAAAATATGTAGTCAACCGTCACCACGGCCATTGACGCCACTACCATTTGCAATATTCAGCGTGATACCACCATCGTGGGCTTCATAGTATCACCACCGGGAGTTTTATCCATCACCCCTTGGGTTTTAAGCCAATTTCTTTATACAAACCAACTGTTTGAATTGATATCGTTCTAGTCGAGCAGAACCTATATCCAGGGGCGGGCGGCTGGGGGGGGGGGGGTTATAGGGGCAATTGACCCTCTAAATTTTGGGGGAAAAAAAATAAATTTGCTTAGCTTTTTTTTTTTCCTTAGTTTTTTTTTTTTTAGAAAATACCCTATAAATTTTATTTTTGACCCCTAACCCAAGTCGTCAGGGTCCACCCTTCAATCAAACTATCACCACCTGCATCGTCTGTCATAAACACGATATCCATGACCATGACCATCATCGTAGAAACACCCTGAAAATTGCCATCGTCGCTGCCCCATCTCACAACCATCACAAACCTCTACAAAAACACAATAATCCGCCATCACTAAACTGCCTTCCCTTCCATCTATTCCATCCCCAAAAAAAAAAAAAGGATTATTGTCATACAAAAACCAAAGAGCAGAGTTAGCTAGCCATGGTTGTGCTCGAGATTTCACATAGGTCGCATCT